TGTGGAAAGTAATGTTTTGGAGTACTTGTCCAGGGATCATCACCATCTGCAGGATTAGAGCTGTAGCTGCATTTAGTTTCACCCAAATTCTTGAAGCTGGAGTTAAAGTTGAAAATCGATATTAGTTAGCTCAAAACAATACTAGTAGAATACTGCAGCCTAAAAATTAGTGAACTGATCAGGATTTAACTCCAGAATTGTAGGGATTTTAGGAACACCCTGCTAAACGCTGCGGGCCATGCTGGTTTGCTTAGATAAAGGGACAGAGCTGTACATGATGGATTTACTCTGTTCTACTCGTTGCCTTCCTTCTCTTTCCCCACCTCTCCAAATTATGGTTCCATATAAGATCAATTTGTCTAAACTGCTGATCACTGGGTTTAAGAGGAACAATTTTCTGCAGCTCCTTCACACTGGTTTGAAAGGAAAAAAAATACCAAACATTCTGCTTAATTAAGACCTAAAGAGGCGGTGCAAACTTTTGATGATTAATTGAAGCATGCTTTAGACTGATGCATATTTAGTTATTATAATGTGATAATTTTATCTTGTTATACAAACTGCTCCCTTTGGGAACATGATTTAACACTGCAAACACTCCGTGTTTATTGCATTGTTCATTATGAAAAATACACAGACTAAAAACCACAAGGAGATGTATCTGTACAGTATCTCTGCGGTGGGTGCAGGGAGTACTTCTTCCACCTGTAATGACACAACCCAGGGGCAGAAAAACACAGTGTTGGAACTCTCACAGTAGCTCTCCCTATGAAGAGTTGAGAAATCAGAAGAGCAGAGGCTGGAAATTCAGATCTTGTACTGTGTGTGGACGAATATGTCTTTCTGTTACCTTGGTGTAATTATGGAAGACAGTGGTACGGATGTTCTGCTGGAAACTCTCCTGTTACTATTCAGTTGTCTCTGTGCCAACTCCTCTTTGTCTCACCTGCAGGAGTACCCACGCTACCTGTCATAAGCGTGACAGATCCGAGAACATGCTAAGCACATTGCAAGAGCAGGTCATAAAGTCACAAGCCCAGATGGAGGAAAAAAAATACAGTTGTTAAAAAATATTTTCTTTCACTTCAAGATGATCTGTACCAGGACTAGCAAATGTTATTTTTGTACTTTACAAACGTGCGTCAGCGTAGCTATGTGAGCCCTGAAAGTGATGGTGAATGATCTTCATCAGAAGAGCTGCTCCAGCGAGAGCTCACATGATGGACACAGGCATGCTGTCAGGATGAGCTCATGTTACCTAAGCGGATATGCTAAGCTGGACTGCCAGCAAAAGTTTGTCTGTGAGCAAAGCAGAAGATCGCCAATGCGTTATACTGATGTAGTTATTGTGGAGAAGCTTCCTTAGTGCAGACCTAATCAGAAAAAGATTCGAGACAGATAAGCAGTCTCAAACTACTGGATTTGAAATTCCCCGCTTCCTTGCTTTCTTGTTGCAGTAGGTTCTTCTTGCTGAGTGCTCTAGGGATGTGGATTTGATACATTTCCCTGAAAGGAGGACAAGAGTCTGGTAAAGTGATTTTTAAAGAATTTGGCTTTGCGAAACAAAGGTCTGTGAAAAAGTGAGAGGAAGCTTATCTTGAATGGAAGATTTGAGTTACTGGTTTCGGATTATTCCAGTCTGTATTTAGCAAAAGACAGTGATTAAGTCACCAGCCTTTGGCTTTCCTTATTTTACACAATCTTAATCTTTTTTTTCAAAGTTATGACTTCCCACGGCTGTGGATTGTAATGGTAGAAATACTGGACTATTACTCTTCTGTTAATGTTGCAGTCCTCTTTTTTAGTCACTAAGCTTAAAACACTGTAATGAAACATCCCTATTAGTTATTTTCACAACTTCTGCTCAGATCTCTACTGCAACTAGTGTCAAGAAGGAAAGCACATGATCAGGACCTTTATCATTGTCCCCAGCTGTCGTCCGTACCTGTAAGCCATAGGGTGGGTCTGGTCCTTTTCTCTGCTGTTCTTAGCTTCACTTGAAGCTAAACGAAAGGGATTGGTTTTAGAGCAAGTCTTCCTCCCACTGGGCTGCAGAGTGCTTTTGTTGATGGTCTGTAGAGAATTAGTCACAGGATATTGGATGTTTTCTTTTTTCACCTGATCAATTGCATTACAAGAAGTTAGAGTTGCATCAAAAATTTACTTGGGCAAACCTACACCTGAGGCAGCAAGGGTGACTTAAAAGTGGCACATTAGTGTACTGTTCCGGGAAGCGCATATTGTGAAGTACTGTTCTTTCCTGGCTGCTTTATGTAGCTATAGTCAGCTAATCCTTCTGTAGCCATGTTCCTGAGTTTTTTAAATGGAAGAGGCATCTAGTTTTAGTATTACTGCTACTATTAAAAGGACTATATTGTATATGAACATTCTTTGATGACTGGGGGAGAAGGGAGTAGGAGAGAGAAATAATCCAAGTTCTCTTTATTTAGGCAGACTCCTTCTCTCCCTTTCTCCCTTCTTTCTTTCAAAATGATGAACATTTTGATTAGTAATGATGATGTCTTCTGGATATGAGCTGCCTCTTCCTGGAGGTG